GACTTAATATTTACATATTATTTAACATTTAGTGAAAATTAGTAAAATGTTAGAACAGTGAGCTAAAAAAACACTAAAATAATACTGGAATTTTATTAGCTAGGATTTTAAACTCAGAAAATGTGCTAAAAATGACATTTTACAAACATTTTATTTTACACTTGGTGCCCGTTAATAATAGCCTGATAAAATACTGTCCTCGTGTTAATGTGAATAGCTACTGAATGCAGCGGTAATAGTACAGCAGCGTGACTTTGGGGGGAATATCCCTTTAACTTCATTGGGGACATCAGCGGAAGCAGCAGTCAGAGCTTCATAGTAAAATGCGGCGCTAAAAAAAAAAAAAGGCAAGAGGCGATTCAGAGAGAGGGAGAGAAAGAAGGGGGAGAGAGAGGGAGAGCTCACCAGCCGAAAGAAATTTCCTGCCCTCAAAACAACAGAGGAGACGGGTTGTCATCCTCTCCTCGGACATGTGCACCCAGTAGCTAGCAGCAAAGCCCGGATAGCGACGCAGGCTGCGGGGCGGTGTAGCTGAACGTCTCTGGGGCGCCTTTTTGTCGTTTAATTCACCCTGTTTTGTGTCCTTTGGTAATGAGCTTGTTGGGGGCTTACAAGAAAAAGACCAGTTACGATGGATATGAATGTTTGCAGTTGGTCGATAGCGGAGGAGACAGCTTCGGCTTCKGCAAGGCGGGGAGCAGCGGCGGCGGAGGCGGCGGCGCACTCGGACCGAAGGCAGCAGGCCCGCTGAGAGAGGAGGACTGCAGCACCATGGACAGCTCAGGTAGGAGACCTCACCGCCTCCGGGGCTTGGTGGGCCATGACGGAGGAGGAGAGTGAACAGTCTTAACCCGGTCTGTTAACTGTCCTGCATCGTTATGGATGAGGGCAGTGAAAGAATGCAGTGATGCTATGCAGTTCTTCTGCTTCATGCTTGTTCTTCCATGTGCTAACATACTGTTATATATTCATTTTATTACTGCAGTCAGTCTTGTACAAACACAACATAGATTTAAAACACACATTGATGAAGTGAAGTTAGCCAAATAGGTTGAAGCTGGGTTATTAAAGCTAAAAGAAGCAGGACACGAGCTGAACTCTGAAGGAGCAGAATGCTACCCAATAGCTAAAAGTATCAAAATGCTAGCTATAAGGTAAATGTTGCAAACATTAGCTAAAAGAAGCAAAAGTATAGTTAAAAGGAAACAAACAAACAAACTGGTGGTTAGACCAAAGTAGAAAAAGCCTAGCTAAAAGAAGCAAAAGTAAGCTAAAAAGCTAAAAGAAGTAGCAAAATGTATCAATTGGCTATTTAAAACCTAAAAGTAGCAAAATAGCTGGATAAATGCTAAATGAAAAACCTGTTATCTTAAAGCTCAAGGTAGCAAAAGGCTAACTAAAGACAAAAATATGCAAAAGACTAAATAAAAGCACCAAATTTGACCTAAAACCAAACATTTGCAACATTCTATTTACTGTTTCAAAAAACTAGCTACAAGTAGCAAATGTGTAGCAAAAAAGAATAATAAAGAATAATCTGGTAGCTAGACCATAGTAGTAAAAGAGAAGCAAATATAAGCTAAAAGCTACAAAATGCTAGTGCAAATGTATCAGATGGTTATTAAAAAAGCTAAACACAAACCGCTGGCWAAATGCTAAAAGACAAACATGTTAGCTAAAAGCTCAAGGTAGCAAAATAAATGCAAAAAACTAGCTACATGCAACAAATTTGATCTAAAACAACAAAGTAGCAAATTTTTAGTTATTGTTTCATAAAGCTAGCTAAAAGTAGCAAAAGCTTAAATGGAAGTATCAAACAGCTGGGTTGGCTTCGACAACCGTTTTGCTGCCTTGTCCGGTTCACAAATCACACTGAGGCGGCCTGAAGGCATCTTAGTCTCGGCTTGAAGTGTTTTGTCAAAGAGCGTAAAGACTAATAAGGATTTTAATATATTGAGATTTGTGTTTAGAGTTTAGTTGTGTCCTGCGTTCACCCCGCCTGCAGTGCTGTGTGAAGTCAGCCAGCTTCCAGGGATAAACATTTGTGTGAAACAAAAGAACCAGAGAGGGGTGGGGGCGGGGAGGGGGTGAGGCGATCCGTTTGGCCCTACAGGGGCTTAAACACGTGGTCTTTTTGATGTGCGCGCGCCTCTGTGTCCATCTGCCCCACTTCATTGAAGGCTAAAGGTTAACACTCTGGAAGGAGGGAGACACGTTCAAAAGTGAGCCACTGATCTTTCGCCAAGAACCCCCCCGTGCTCTTTCCCCCCACCCCGAGTGGCCGGGCTGTTTTACCTGATGGAGTCGGTATCAGAACCGCCTCTGGTGTCGGCGTTAGCGGGGCCTGTCACCGTTTATGACTTGTCACTCTGCACACTCCCACGTCCATCTGGACTCAGAGCAACAAGAACCAGTTAACTGAATAACAAGGAAGAGGCAGATTCACACAGATAGGTTTGGAAATACCGTAGCACAGGACGAGATTAAGGTCCGGTTCCTGTGCTGCAGTCATAACTAATGCACATCATCCTCAGGTGGAGAAACAACACAGAGGACAGGAGGCAGGCAGGACACAATAATACCAGATTATTAATATTTGTGAAGTCAAACATCTTTGGGATTGTAGCAGATAGCTAAATAAATCAGTAAGAGAGAAAATCTGGAACACCTAGGGTTATCTTAGGTGATGTCATCACATTACACTCACCGGCCACTTTATTAGGTACACCACGCTAGTAACGGGTTGGACCCCCTTTTGCCTTCAGAACTGCCTCAATTCTTYGTGGCATAGATTCAACAAGRTGCTGGAAGCATTYCTCAGAGATTTTGGTCCATATTGACATGATGRCATCACACAGTTGCYGCAGATTTGTCGGCTGCACATCCATGATGCGAATCTCCCGTTCCACCACATCCCAAAGATGCTCTGTTGAATTGAGATCTGGTGACTGTGGAGGCCATTTGAGTACTGTGAACTCATTGTCATGTTCAAGAAACCAGTCTGAGATGATTCCAGCTTTATGACATGGCGCATTATCCTGCTGAAAGTAGCCATCAGATGTTGGGTACATTGTGGTCATAAAGGGATGGACATGGTCAGCAACAATACTCAGGTAAGCTGTGGCATTGCAACGATGCTCAATTGGTACCAAGGGGCCCAAAGAGTGCCAAGAAAAGATTCCCCACACCATGACACCACCACCASCAGCCTGAACCRTTGATACAAGGCAGGATGGATCCATGCTTTCATGTTGTTGACGCCAAATTCTGACCCTACCATCCGAATGTCGCAGCAGAAATCGAGACTCATCAGACTAGGCAACGTTTTTCCAATCTTCTCTTGTCCAATTTCGATGAGCTTGTGTAAATTGTAGCTTCAGTTTCCTGTTCTTAGCTGAAAGGAGTGGCACCCGGTGTGGTCTTCTGCTGCTGAAGCCCATCTGCCTCAAAGTTCGACATGTTGTGTGTTCAGAGATGCTCTTCTGCCTACCTTGGTTGTAACGGGTGGTTATTTGAGTCACTGTTGCCTTTCTATCAGCTCGAACCAGTCTGCCCATTCTCCTCTGACCTCTGGCATCAACAAGGCATTTCCGCCCACAGGACTGCCGCTCACTGGATGTTTTTTCTTTTTCGGACCATTCTCTGTAAACCCTWGAGATGGTTGTGCGTGAAAATCCCAGTAGATCAGCAGTTTCTGAAATACTCAGACCAGCCTTTCTGGCACCAACAACCATGCCACGTTCAAAGGCACTCAAATCACCTTTCTTCCCCATACTGATGCTCGGTTTGAACTGCAGGAGATTGTCTTGACCATGTCTACATGCCTAAATGCACTGAGTTGCCGCCATGTGATTGGCTGATTAGAAATTAAGTGTTAACGAGCAGTTGGACAGGTGTACCTAATAAAGTGGCCGGTGAGTGTATATTGACACATTATGTCCTCTGGGTGAGGTGGGCAGGATTGTAAGTAATTAAACTTTATTTCTAAAACACCTTTCACAGACACAAACATCACAAAGTGCTTAACAGAGTGAAAAAAAAACTAAAAACAATAAAACATATCACAAATATAAAAAAACAACAACAATTAAAGCACAATGTCAATCAAGCACTACCTCCTTTACAACAAAGCAACAAAACGGGTGGAAACTTCTACATCTGCTGTTACCTCAGAAACACGTGACATCAGACCCCCACCAGATTCTCAGTGGCGAGTCACATCATTAAAACCATCTGAATGGTCAGGTTGCAGTTTGGATTAACAACCACTGCAACTGTTTGTGGAGTTACAGCATCAAGAGAAAATCTGTTTGGTTCCTTTGAGCTGTTGATTGTTGTGATTTTAACTGGTATAGGACTTTAAACAACTGTACTGGGACCACCCTGCGGGGACCCTGTACGTGCTCCGGCTTCAACGTACAGAATTGTGGTTATCTTTAATTCACGTCAATGGGAGATCCTAGTAAACTGAAATAAAAGCCAAGTGAGTGTTTTTTTATTTGTGAAGTTATTTTATTTCTCAGCTGAGGGGCTTACTCAATTCAAAACTGAAAAAGGATGAGCTTCAAACCCAGAAGCCGTTGATGAAAATCACTCTCCCTCGTATTCTCCTTAAAGGTCATTGGAGTCGTCGACTGTGTCCAAATTCAGGGGCTGAGTTCTTTGAAGGACTCGGCCTACCCGGTCTATGTGGGCCAGGTCCTTCGAAGACCGCAAAGACCGGAAGAAAGTGGCTATGAATTTGGATGGTCTAGCCTTTAGCTTTATTCCCACCCTTATCCCGGTGTGTGTCCTGTCRTGTAGCAAGTGTGACAACGCTATACAGAAGCAACGGAGGTTGAAAATAGATTTAAATTAGCAAAATATTAACATATTAATATTATTAATATTATCAGTTAAAGGGGACCTATTATGCAAAATACACTTTTTAAAGTTTTTTTTACTCAACTTTGGGTATGTACTTCTTAAAAAAACAGTCCTAGGACCAAAAAAAAAATGCACCCAGGGGCATATTTACTGTAAGTAAATGTATTTTTAATGTATATTAATGACAAGTTTTATACTTCCGTCATTTTGTGATGTCACAAGCCGTACGACAACCCACCAGAACCTGCGTTCAGCCGCTCACCCGGGTGAAGCCCCACCTCCTCAGTATAAAGAGCTGTCACCGTGTTGTTGTGCAATGCGCAGCTCATTTCACAGCAAGCCTCCAATAGGGCAATGGGTAGAGTGTTGGGCCAGAGAGTGGGAGAACAGGGTTTGAGACCGGCACAGACACAATTTTTAACTTTTTATTTTCATTCGTTATGAACATGTTTTCTCATGTACCTCTATTGTTTAGCTTATTAAAGCCTTGTTAAAGCCTATTTGTTTGAGTTTCTGAGGTATTTTCACTGCTGCTGCTCCCTGCTCTGACTCTGACTCTGGGTCTCATATACAGTATATACAGTTGTACAACGGAGCTTCTGCTATTATTAGCCATGCTAATGCTGGCTTTGGAGGGCGGAGTTAATGTCAACAG